ACCATGTCATTCTCGAGAGACCGACATGCCTCGCAACTGTATTGCAGACCATTACTCTTTGAAATTGCGTCACCCACGAGGCCCGAAAACCCAATACATTTTGCGTGCACTACGTTATTGCAGAGCCAGCAAGGGATGCTCGGCTGGTCGTGGGTGATCTGCTTCTTACAAGCCTTAGCGGAACACACAACCACGTATTCCATTATTTTTACATAATTTATTTTAATATAAATTATTTTCTTAAAACAAATAGCAATGGGACCAGTGTGCCGACGAAGTGATTAAAGCAATGCTTAAAGTGGGATCGAAAACAGATGAGCGCGCGCTGCTGCACAGAAAGTATTGAGAGCGAGAGAGGGAGAGGGAGAACAGTTACTCGAGCTAGAGAGTGAAAGGCAGAAGCGCAACTAGAGAGAGCGGCTAATAGTGAGGGCGTCCTTACAAAAAGAAAACGGGACATGGAGACATATTTGCTGGCAAGCATCGGAGGAAAATGTGCAAGTGTTAATGTGTGTGTTCATGTGCAAGGCAGCCGCCTTGCTAGCAAACATGTCTCCATGTCCCGTTCCGTCAAAACTCCATGCTTGTTCACACCGTGACTCTGAATACTCCAATGGAAAATATTTGCAACGCAAAGTCAATTGCCGTAATTCATTATTTAAATACATATTCAGATGTATAGATTCAGCAATAGAAACAGAAATCCGTAACCCCTTTCATCCTGAATTATATAAAGCAAATAAAGGTCACACAAAATAAATTAATTTTGATTTTGAGGGGCAAGCTTCGTCATAAAGTTTTGAGGGTAAATGGTATGTGAGCTCAGAATAGCGCTAACAATTAACGCGCACGTGAAGTCCAGAAAATAACCGACGACGAGAACAGAAATTTGAATAACAACTTTTATTGATATATTTATTTTTTCCAACCCCCAAGGATCCGTACAGCAACCCCCACCCCTCATTCTGCACATGTTGCTGCAGGTCAGGTTCATACGCCAAGCCCCGACAACATAATCAAATTATCAAAACGAATTTTCGTTCCATCGCACTTCAGAAAGTCAGGGCACCAACACATACATTACTTGCAGTGTCCGTGTGAATCAAGCCAGAACCGGTTTGGAGCGCTAAAAAATCATTGGCTACACGCACTTGTGCAAATGTAGCTGGGACTTCTAGCTGTTAGCTCTACACGCACTAATACTTGCAGCTGCGACGTTGGCAGAGGCCTGGGACTTCGAGACGCACATTCAGCGGCGACGTTTCGCTTCTATAAAGCTGATAATCTACTATACTATTTGGTTAGTGACACTAACCGACGCACAAACGAATACGATTAAATTTTAATTTTAAACAAATAATAGGCATGCACTCGCATATTAGGATATGTATGAAAAGTGGCAAGCTATTCAGTAATTATAAGAAGAATTATTTCGAAAAAACTCCGGTTGTTTACCCAAAATAGAAAGGAAAATACGGAACGCAAAACAAAAACACATCTGGTCACTACGAAAGAGAACGAACGAACGAGATAATTCGTCATATATAATAAATAAAGGTAGCAAAGTTTTAACTTCTTAAATTATAGTGTGTACTTTGATAACAAAAACATTTCTAAACTTCTTTTTTTACCTAATAGTTAATTGAAGAGTAAATAAAAAAGCTACTTCCTATAAGGTCATACGCATGTAAAAATGTCTACAACGAAGAGGGTTTGATCAAATTATTAAAACTCTGTCAAAGGGAGAACTGTTTTAACTTCTTAAATTATAATTAAAAAAGTAAAGAGTAAAGAGTAGTTAAAACGTAAAAAAAAATTCGAGTTCCTAATTGTTGTCTCTAGTTTTTAATGAGAATACAAAAAATGAAATCCAAAATTGTTTAATGCTGGTGAGGCACTGGCCATATTACGCCATATCGATTATGTATTGAAGTCTGTTGGGCAAGTCCTTAACTACGTCGGGCGTCACTCTTTTCCATTCCTCAGGGAGTGATTTTTTTAAGTCACTTTCATTAGTTACTGAATGGAATATAAGGTTTTGATCCAAAATGTCCCAAAAATTATCGACAATATTAATGTCTAGATCATAGCCTGGGGGTTTCATAACGTGTGGACAATTCCAGATTCTTGAACATAATTTTCATGATCTTGATCATTATTTTCGTAGTTGTAAAAATTGTTCTCATTTTTAAATTGTTTGGCATGTTAGACAACAATTTGTTTGAGTATTGATAGATACTTATTTTTTGTCATATTTTTCGTTATAAACACCAGGTTTCCCACCCCACCCTCGGATATACAGCCCCAAGCGATAAGAGTTTCACCCTTATACTTCATGATCATCTCATGGTGTTCCTTGAGACCGATATCTGAGTACATAGGACTGAACTCAGTTACTCTTGTTAATATAACAGAGTCCCAGAGGACAGATTCTTTCGACAAATTCTCATTAGCAAACGAGTCCCTGCTCGGCAAATTATCTATGGCTGAGAAGTCCTTTTCATCGGTGAATTCCTCACCTGCCAGCGCTTGCTATTATAAGCTGCATCGGAGAGCTTTTGCGCCCGGAGCAGTCGACGGATTGTTTCCAAATTGCACGGTTTTATAACAGGTACTCGGAGAGTAAATAGGGTATATTGTATTTGTGCACAAAGTATGTAACACACAGAAGGAAACGTTTCCGACTCCGTAAAGTATACAGTGGGGAGCAATAATGAGTACATGTTCACAATAACTGACTTTCGTCGCCCATAACTTCTAAACGCTAAATGCAAATGTAACCAATTTTTGTTTAGATATTAATAATAATATTTGTCCTTAACAAATAGGCAATCCCAGAAAAATAAAAAAATAAAAAAACTCGCATGTACTCATATATGCAATTTTCGTTATTTTATATTTATACATTTTCGAATCAACAATATGGTCACAGAATTGACTTTAAATGTATTTATTTTATATTCTAGAAATATTAACATTAAATTAAGACATTTCTGATGATAATCGAAGCAGATTTCATGAATTTATTAAATAGTGCCTATGTTGTACCTGAGACAGAAGAATATCTAGAAAATGTAAATATTATTGTGTAGCTTACTGAAAATGGCCATACGACAGCTAATACTGCTGAAAAACATGGCACTAGGCAATCGCTGGTGATCAGAGTGGAAAAGACTCGAAATTTTGTCCCGAAACAGCAAAGGTCGCCCTAAGGCGCTAGCAGACCCAAAAGTCAAACTTATTATGTCGCAAATTAGTAACTTCTATGTCCAAAGGATGCTCTTTTCGCATTATACTATCAATGTTGGTCTAGATGGCGAAGTATGGCCATCGTACCACCACCTAAAACATCCTCACACCCGAAACTTTTAAATTAACAAGACAATTTGATCCCGGATGATTAAAAACGTGTTAAAAAACGTTCTGACCATATCTATCAGATCACCAAATTGGGATCCGATTGGATCATTATTATAGCCACAATGAAGAAATTAATTTGCAGTGGCTAAACCCACCCCGTCCCGCAGCTAATATTTGTTTTTTTGACATTCTCTCATACACACTCTGCTTCGGCCTTTGCCGCGAGTCTGCAGTGTGTGGGTCTACGGAAGGGGGGTGAGCCAAAGGAGCGTGTTGGTGTGAGAAGTGTTGTAGATGTAGATGACAGATGAAGACAAAATTTTAAATTTGACAAAACACCGCTAAGGTGCAGATGTAGTACTGAGTGCCGGGTATAAAAGTTGTGACGCGTAAGAAGCGTCTCACACCTCCCTTCTCGTCTTAAATTTGTTTTTCGCTTATTTAAGTAGGGCTGGGATAGTAGTGGGTTTCTATTTAAATTGTTGAACTATCATTGTCTCTTCGAGTTCCGTAAAAATTGTATTCGGTGCCTTTCTGGACTTATTGTGAACCAGTTTTTTTTCTCACGAATCGCCTGATAATAGTTTGCCTGATAATATTTGCAATCTCTTCTTGGGAGTAGCCATTTTTATAATGTGTGATTATCAAATTGCGTTGCGCTATTGTTGGATCCGGCCACCAATCCCCCAATCAAGACAAATCAGGTTTGGAGCTCTACAAAATCATTGGCTACACGCACTTATCCAAATGCAGCTGGGGCTTCTAGCTGCGTGCTCTACACGCACTAATACACATGTAGCTAGGGCTTCTAGCTGCGTGTTCTACACGCACTAATACTTGTGCTGGGACTTTGGCAGAGGCCTTGGTCTCCGAGACGCACATTGAGCGGTGACGTTGTGCTTGTAGGAAGTTGAGAGTCTACTATACTACGTGGTTAGTGATTTTGCTTATGGATTGGCTATTTAAGTGGCTAAGTTTTCTGGTATAATTTCTGCTACAGTATACAGTATATCCATATCATCTATTTCGATAACATATTATTGAATACATTTAATCGATAGATCGATCAACTAACTAACACGTGCACTGTTTGCATTGTTTAGATTCGCTTGTTTGCCAAAAATAAGAAATTTAAGGTTTAGAAATGAGCAAAGCCGTAGCTGAGACAACGAATGCTGCAAGCGTAGGAACCATACCTCAGAAAATGCCGAATACAAAAAAAACGCAGCTGCAGGCGAATGTGCCACGAGGTCAACCGAAATCCAATCGGCCCTGGAAAATTCCGAAACAAAAGTGAAGACTTGGCTGCGGCGGGAAATAAATCTTCAAATAAACTAATTTATATATTTTGTTTTAGATTCAGCACAATTAAGAAAACAGCAAACCGCCTGTCATTTGAAAAAAATACGGCTCTCCGTGATGAATTGCGCTACATTAAGGATAAATCAAAGGAAATTAAGACTCAAAGGAAGGAAGCGGCCGTTCAACGTCACCAGCGTCGCGTGGAAAACGCAGAGCGTCGCTTGGCCAACGAGCGTCGCTCAGAAATCGTACAAGTTATTAAGAATCCTTCAAAGATTAAACGCATGAAGAAAAAGCAGATGCGTATGATTGAGAAGCGCGACATAAGCCAGGTGAAGGTAGTTTAAGTCGTCAATGCATAGGAAACCCTATGTAGATGTACATTTATTTGTTGCCTAAATAAATAGTTTTAATAGCATGCACATACATAAATTGTTTTTTAAACTATTTGTATAGCGTCGAGTCCAATCCAATTAACCATGTATTTCTATGTCAATGTGTGCCATACAACCAGAATCAGTTTATTTCAACAGATTTACATAGTAATTCAAATTCAAACCATCAGCATCTGTCTGCTTGCCGTTCGTTTTAGCCCGAAATTGTATTAAAATTTCTTTTCGTTTCTTATTTAATTCCATACTGAGCAATTTCTTAGCATTTGTCTCGAACAGAGTCTGTAGCTGCACGTTTATGCTTGCCCGCAGTGCCAAATCCAGGCAATGTGCTGGGGACTTTATCTGTGTTTGCGTGGGAGAACGGGTGAGAGGAGGCAGCAGCGTTGGGAAATGGAATAATTTTATGATGAACGGACAAATCAAATGTGACACAGATTCAGTATCAAAAGTTGGAAGTGTGAGGCTATTGCACTCCCAAGCGTCATGGCCGGGTGGCTCAAGGCGGTCGTTCATTTTACGGACAACTAGTTCGGGCACGCAGTCTGCTCCCCTCGATGAATTCGCGTGAAGGCAGCAAGCCAATGGGGTCGCAATGTAAATCTGGGAATAGATGCAGCCATAGGTACGGCACAGCTGATATAGCTTATAGCGCATGCTGCTGTAATAAAAGTTGTCGTCACACAAGATAAGGTAGTCACAGTTGCTGTTATTATTGGTCGGTCGGCGAACTTGTGGTGGGCAATCTGCGGCACCTTGGATGTAAAGTATTAGCTGTTCTAAAATGTTCAAAATAACCATCCGCTGCTCCCTATATGTCACTTCAGCTCGCGTGTTGATGTAGTCGTCGTAGCACAGGTAAACAATTTGACATGTATTCAGAGAACCCTGCTTGTTAGTTAGGACCCAGTTACTGAGTGCAGACTTGCCCGCTCCCGGCAGACCAATGAGAGCAAGCAGGCAAATTTTCGCTGGCATCGTGTGTCGTATTGGAGGTATTACGCATGTGTATTTGAGTGTTGGTTTCTATTTGAATGGTTCGGCATGGTTAATTTAACTATCTTAATTAGAAGGAACAGCTGCGGCTTGGCATACCGTCTCCAGAGTCTACTGTTACATGGATAAATTTCCTGAGGCGGCTGGAGGAATTGGCGTCAACACCGAAGTGCCAGCGGTAACGGCTTCCTTTTCAATTTGCTCCTCCTTTTGACGGTCTTCCTTTCGTTGTTGCTCCAACTTTCTGGCATTCTCCTCAACTTCTTGCATGCGCTTTGTATTTATTGTTGTTTGTACATCTACATAGACTTTCATCATACTTTGGTTAAAGCGAGCGAACTTGGTGACACATCTGTCCACGCAAGTGTCCTGATTGAGAGTAGCACTTGATGAGGATTGGAAATTAACAAGTGCACAGCTTTACTCACCTCTTGGCCGCCCAACTCGCGCTGATTGAGGTTATCCACGCATCGGCTAAAACACAGCTCAGTGACTTTATTGTATAATGTAAGAAAATCTTTCAGCTAAAAGCGAGTGTAGTTAGGACTACCGCAAATATTATATAATTTATAAGTGCTTACATTACGCAAGTTGGGATCCATCGATTAATTAAGGCTTACAAAAAATTTGTGTTTGAATGCAGAAATTACACAATTTAAATTTACTAAATTTAAACTTTCCGTCTGGGAAAACAGCTGACTGAGTACTTTCTACCTACAAAACTGGAATATCGATATACCGATAGTATACCGAGAGTAATAAAAGCACAGTTAGAACCGTGGAATACGATAGTTCACAAGTTCTCAGTTTATAAACCCGGTACTCGGAGAGTAAATTTGTGTGAAAGAAATGTAACACACAGAAGGAAGCGTTTCTGACATCACAAGTTAAATACACATATTCTTAATCAGCATCAATAGCCGAGTCGATATAGCCATGTAGCGAAAACCTCCCAGAGCTAAAATTTAAAAAATAAAAGAAAACTAAAAGCCATTCCGTGGGAAATTATATATATCAGATCACCGAATTGGGATCAGATTGGATCATTGTTATAGCCAGAATGAAGAAATTCCACCCCGTCCAGCAGCTTTTGTTGTTTTTTTTCACATTCTCTCAAATATACTCAAATATTGAGATACTTCAGCGTTACCAATCAAAAACTTTGCGACACATTGTCAATGCTCCGTTTTACATATCTAATGCAAATATCCACAAAGATCTTAATATTCCAACCATTAAAGAAGAAATAAAGAAAACTAGTAAGAAATACATCGACAGACTCCACAACCATGGAAATAATTTAGCCTTAAGTTAGACAATAGCTTAACAGTAAGAAGACTGAAAAGATACCACATTCTCGATCTCCCCGATAGATAAATCCAACAAACTGAAACGATGTTATATATAATAGCAGGGCTCATTAGGAAACTGCTATTTCTGTTAATTTAATATTATTTAGAAAATTTACTTATTGTTTAAACAAACAGATTGTAAATATAAAGAGAGAGAAAAAACAAAAAAAAACATTCTCTCATTCACACTCTGCTTCTGCAGTGTGCGGCCTCTGCCTCTGCCGTGCCTCTGCAGTGTCACTAACCATATAGTATAGGGGAGGGACGTGTGAGTCGCTTCTTACGCGTCACAACTATTATATCCGGTTCTCAGTAGGACATCTGTACCGTAGTGGTTTTTTTTCAAATTTTCGTTTAACATTTTAAATTTTTTCTACATTGTAAGTAATCTACATCTACATCACTTCTCACGCCAACACGCTCTTTTAACCCTCCCTTAGAGCCACACACTGCACGAAACAGAGTTTATAGTTTCTGAGATTCAGGCGCTCAACAAGACGGACGGTCGGACGGACAGACAGACATTTCTATATGGACTCTGCTATTGATGTTGATCATCAATATATTGTGTATACTTTATGGGGTCGGAAAGGTTTTCTTACGAGCGTTACATACATATGTACATATGAACATTCAATTTTGTGCACAAATACCATATAACATATTTACTCTTCGAATCCTGGTATGAGAAGGGACGTGTGAGACGCTTCTTACGCGTCATAACTTTTATACCCGGCACTCAGTACTACATCTGCACCTTAGCGGTGTTTTGTCAAATTTAAAATTTTGTCTTCATCTGTCATCTACATCTACAACTCTTCTCACGCCAACACGCTCCTTTAGCTCGCCCCCCTTCCCAAGAGCCAAACACTGCATAGTCATGGCAGAGGCAGAGACGGGCAGAGGTAGAGGCCGATGACTACACGAAGCAGAGTGTGAATGAGAGAATGTGAAAAAAACAACAAAAGCTGCGGGATGGGGTGGGTTTGGCCACTGCAAATTTATCTCTTCATTGTGGCTATAATAATGATCTAATCGGATCCCAATTTATTGATCTGATAGATGTGGTCATTCCCTACGGAATGCCGTTTTAAGTTTTCTTTTATCTTAAAAATTGTAGATTTGGAAGGTTTTCGCCTTTTGCGGGGGCGGGCTCATTTTTTAAATACACTTTTAACATTGTGAGCTGTCTGGATGCAACATTTGGTGGCTCTAGTTTTATAGACTCTGAGATCCAGGCGCTCAACAAGACGGACGGACGGACAGACAGACGGACGGACAGACAGACATGGCTCAATCGATTCGGCTAGTGAAGCTGATCAAGAATATATATACTTTATGGGGTCGGAAAGGTTTCCTTCTGTGCGTTACATACATTCACTTTGTGCACAAATACACAAATAATAAGTATACCCTATTTACTCTTCGAGTACCGGGTATAAAAACGGAGTTTTCCCCGAAACCCAAAATGAAATTCATCTTTGAATTTGAGGTACATTCAGTTTTATGACAAGAATCATAGTTCCTTCATTTTGTTGTGACACCTGAGCCGCGGTCTGTAAAGGAATTGTTGCCATCAGCAGTGGGTGGCCGACTCTCGCAGCTGTCCTCTCCACTACTTGTCGTGGAGGCACCTTCCTCGGGAGTAGTCTTTGCCGCTTCATCTGATTCCTGTAATGCTTCTTCTTCTGAAAGACCAACGTCTACCTTCCTGGTGTTCTCTGCATCAGCTCCCTTCTTGTTCTTAACATGTGCATACGTATATGAAATGGTTCTAGTATCATTCATGATCATTTGTGGTAATTTGATACCTTTTTGAGTTTCTTTGGCTTCTCAGGTTTCACTGCGTGTAATTCGGCTTCCTCTTGCAATGCTGATTTGTAACTGTCCGGGAAGAACTGACATGCCTCCTCGTGGCCAATGACCGAGTTGGCACTTACATAGTTGGGGCCGTAAGCCATCAACACAGGGAGAGTCTGGGTCTTGACTTTGTTCACCTTCAGGACGATCTTATCGGTGCTTCGATCGTTTGGGAAAAGATCGATAGTTAAAATGCATTTCGGACGGTTTTCGGTAGTTGCTGAGATACTTACGGTACGTAGGGTTTCGCATTGTACTTCTCGACCGAATTGGCTATGAAAACCGCTGTCTGAGGATTGTCACTGGTGAAGAAGCCATAAAGCGGAATTTCTTCTTGCCAGGATTCAAGGAGAATGTCCAGATCTTTCTTCTTGTAGGCGTCGAAGGTCATCACAATGTGTGGTGGCTCCGGATCAGGGTCGGGCGGTAAAAAAGCGGTTGTTTGCCCCCGGAAATATGTGTAAATTAGAGCTGCATGAGTGCGCTGGTCACTGGGCACCCAAATCGGAGGAATGCGGACGTTCTTATAATTTTTAGTATTCTCCAATTTCACATCGTACGGATCCTCTGCTGCTTCAATTTCCACCTCGCCTTTGTCCTCTTCCATATTGACATTGAGCTCGTCGACTCGTAATATTTCTGCCTCCTTTTCAGACCCTCATTACACAAATATATACATATGTACATACATACATACATAGTTACACATGAACACATAGCACCCACTTACCTTTTCTTTTCATTTGCACCATAATCTCAAGCGGTACTATTATGGGTTGTACTGTGATCTCCTCCTCATTGAACTCATCCGGTGGCTTAATGGTATCCTTGGTCAGCTCATGGGCGTATTGCCGGAGGATGTTGGGCGGACTGCCAAGAGCCTCGTCCACCTTCCAGAAGCACATCAGCAGCTCCTTGTCGTACAATTGCTCGATAACATCGCTCGCCAGTGGATTCTCAGCAGCAAAGTTCACAGTGGTGAAGTCACTGGGCGTTATGGGAAAGACTTTGCGATCCTTGCACTGAATTTTCAGTGGATCAGCCGGCTCCGAGAGCTTCTTGAACATTTCCCGGTTGACCTGTGGTCCAAAGACAGTTATTCCAATATCGGGAAGGTTCTGCATGATGCAGTCAGTGACAGACTTCAGGTGCTCCAAGCGCTTCCTCTTGCACTCTTCCAGCTCAATGCTCTCGGCCAGCCGTAGAGCCTTATTTGTCACCTCCTGCTGCTCGAGCTCGATGGGTTGTAGTTCAGTGATCTCATAGCACTGATGGAACTCCTTGGCCATGGTTGACTGTAGCATTTTGGTGATAATGGCCACCAGTTTGGGCACGTCTGTGCCAAACATGATGTTGATGGCCTTTCCGTTCTACAAAATACCAGATACAAACAAACGTACATACATACATACATACAAGAACGATTATCCATCTGTGACAGATGCACTTACCGTAACAAACATCCAAGTCGGCTCACTCTTCTTGTTAAACCTCTCCAGATAGGAGATGGAACCGGCCTTGCACTATTTTTCAAGCAAAAGATAGAATGAGAATGAACAAAGAAAGCAAAGCCTAGTCTTACGATGGCCAGCTGTAAATTGTCGCCTCCAAGCTCCAGCTTGATCTTACGCAGACTTCCCACCATACCCAGACAGGGTCCACACCATTCCGAGTATATGTCGAGAACTGCAAGAAGAAGATTGCATAAATATCAGACCATAAATAAGTCAGACTGTCCCAGTGTCAGTCTCAGTCCCAGCGCCATTCCAAGGCATACCAAGCAACCCGGATCGCTGCAGAAATTTCTCAAACTCCTCGTCCGTACTGATGTCCGCTTGAAGCTGTTGCACTCCGCCTTTCTTTGCCATTTTCTGCACACTGATTATTCATTCACCATACTAAGTGCATCATTAAATATTGATTAAACTATCGTTGTCATGAAGACAATTCTTCTTAGGCACGCTAGCCATCTTCTTAATATACATACGTGAGTTACGTTATACTAAAATAGCTATTTAACTATTTACTGGTATCAACACTCGTATACACTCCTGTTACTCTGCATCGCTCCGTGTAGATTCATGAGTCATGTAGAGTCCAACCATGACTCATAAGGATATGTCGCTACGGATTCATCGGATTCTCTGCGTGATGTTCCGTTGTTCATGATGCCAATTTTTGCAAACTGCCAAATACGCTTAAAATAGGCTTTTCATTGAAATAGTAGTGCTGAGTGCAAGTATTTTATAAAAAGTAAACAACAAAACAAATGAATATTAAAATATTTTAAATAAATTGAATAAATGAATATATGTATGAAAGACTTTTTTGACATAGCGGTACTTTCGTTTTTAGTGCGGAGAGGAAATCATAACAATTTCAACTAGAAGAAAAACAGTGAAAATTGATTTCTTATGCAACAAACTTGTCTTTTATAAGATGGTGCCGAAAAATACTTTTGACTAATGAGTCTTAAGTTTTATTACATGTTAAGGCAGAATCAAAATAATATGTTTGACGTTC